TATCTCTGGAGTCCCCAGTAGGGAGGTGGTTATAGACATGAATGGGTCCATGATCTCCCCTTTGGCCCCCTCCAAGCTTTATCCCCTCATGACTTTTGGGATTTATGTCCGACCACATAAGCACGGCAGGCAAAATATGTTCTAAAAAGTCTATAATGCTCTTGAAAGTCCAAACAAATGTGCCCACTGGCTAAACAAACTGAGGATTTCTGCTGTAAACGTGAAACAGAGAGGTAAAAAATGAATGTTTTAAAATACAGGCCAGGAATCAAACAACAGCTGCACCCTATATGAGCGACAGATCACACAGGTCCTACAGTATTATGTGTTTCATGCAGTAGCATAGAAAGCAGTTCTGTCCAGAGTAGAGTAGAATTCTGTATTAAAATAAAAATAAAAAAGGTCCTTGCTTTGAACCCTAATTCTCAAAGACTGGATTTAAATACTCTTGCTTAGTCTTAATTGATTTAACCATGGATGATTGAATAAACCACACTCATCTAGGTTTGCACAACAAAACAAAGTTAAACAGGGTCAAACCATGACCGTATATCATATAGTCCACTAATAATTAAAGGGCTAGTTTTACTTTTGACTGTTCCAAATGGCTAAGGTGTGGTCACTTGTAGAATTGCCTTATCTTTATGCATCTTATTAAACATTAGATACGTTTCCTGTGACCCTCCCTACAAAATTAAGTTAAGCTGAGAAATTCTCGGAGCATTCTTGGCCCTGGTGCTTCAACTGCAGACCTTGGACTCTGAGAGCTTCATCTGTCTCTTGACCCAAGACTTTTAAACAAATCTCTTGTCTGACTCTCCCAGTTTTAAAAAAGCTGCTTTCATTCTAGGGATACAAAGAGTTAAATCCTCACCCTATTTCACTTTCTTTTGGGATCCTTTCTTCTAGATTGCACCTAAAATGTTCCAGGTCATCGTAAAGGCCTGGAAGGATTTCATTAGTAGATTGGTAGGCAACTGCCACCAATTCAATCAAACTTAGAAATAAACAGATCAATAAATAAAGTTGATAATAAATGCTACTAAGCAGTTGATTGATGCAAGGTAGGCTATTAACAGCAGAGGCAGACAAATTTTGGGTGTGCGGCTGCAGCATGTAATGGTCTCTGAAGGCCCAAAGTGATGATGCATAGATGATGCTCTGTGTCACACACCCAAGCTGGCCAGAAATTCTGTGCCCAAGCATGCATCTTTCCTTTTTAAGCATGCTGAGCCACTTTTAAGGCTTGCAATTTCCATGTTGCCCACTTTAAAATGGAAGCTAAAATTCGGTGCCACGCTGGGGAGATTCAAGGTGACCAACAGAGGTTACGAGTCCACGTGTCCCTTTGGTACTACAAGTTGCCCACCTCTGGTTAATAAGCAAGGGCTGCTGGCTTCTCAAAAGAGAAGGACAGAATATTTTGCTGGAACAAGTTAACATCTGTATGGTTACTCTGAGGGTCTGGCTCTCCAGGTGCTGCAGCTGGAGGGTGCATGGCCTGCCAGGCACAGGAAAGGCAGCTGCTACAACATCAGCAGTACACACACAAACTAACATGACAGATGAAGAAGGCTGTGGCTGTCACCTGTCTCTCTGACTTCCTCCAAAAAAAACAGTTACAGTTTTGTAAGTGTACCCTTAGCAGAATTTGCTTGCTTGCCTGCCTGCCTGCCTGCCTTCTTTTTCTTTTTCTTTCTTTCTTTCTCTTTCTTTCTTTCTTTCTTTCTTTCTTTCTTTCTTTCTTTCTTTCTTTCTTTCTTTCTTTC